CCCCTCCCTCCTCCTCCTCGCCCCTGGTTGCTCTTTCTAGGTCTTTTCCAGCCATCTTTGGTTTGTTGTCCGGTGCTCTGAGTTTGAGCTTGGAGCCGCGCCCTCAGCCTTGCTGCTTTTTCTTTTTCTTTGCTTTTTCACTTATGTTTTTTTCAGATAGGCTCTGCATGTTTGCCGTGGTTTTAGCCTTGGCCTCAGACCATGATCCTCTTACCTGCGGCCCCCTTGCCACTGTGATTACAGGCATGAAGCTCCATGCCCGGCCCCGCACCCTCTCCCCTTCTGCATTCACAGCCAAACAGCTTCCCGGGCTCCATGGACGGGCTGGGCCCCCTCCCGGCCCCCTAAACCACCTCAGAGACCCGCCGTCTCACCCGCTTCTGTTAGGTTCAGAGAGACGCGAGTTTCCCCTGCAGAAGACTTGATTAAATTGCATTTGGCCCATTGAGCTTCATAAGCTCCTAATTAAAGGCTTGTCTTCCCCCCTGCTTAGCATTTCACAAATAGCGAAAGGATTTAGAGTCTGTTTTGAGTCCATGTTGTTAGTGGAAGGAAAGAAAACGAGGGGCTGGGAAGGTGGCCCAGCGGTTGAGCGCTCGCCTCGCGCGCCTGGAGCCCTGGGTTCTATCCCCAGTGCAGGAAGAAGAGACGGAGGGGCGGGGAGGAGGGAGAGGCCCTTCCCAGCCACCCGCATGAAAGCCGTGGGGACAGGAGGACCAGCTCTGGGGGGGTCCACTCCTCCCCCCCCAAAGGCCAGCACCCCACCAGGAGTCTTGGGACAGACCTGAAGCTATAAACCAAACTACAGGCCCCAAGCACCAAAGCCCTGCCATCAGCCCAGCCACGGGCGGCGGGAGGGAAGAGCGGCTGCAGTGCCCGGGGCCGGCGGCAGGGGGTGCAGGTGTCACGAAAGGCTGCTTTTCCATCCTTTCCCAGGGAGTCCTTTCCCATGATCCTCGTGGCCAACAAGGTGGATTTGATGCATCTGCGGAAAATCACCAGAGAGCAAGGGAAAGAGATGGCGACTAAACACAATGTAGGTTGTGACCGTGCACGTGTGTGTGTGTGTGTGTGTGTGTGTGTGTGTGTGCGCGCGCGCGCGCACACACCAGAACTGGGCATGAACTCAGAGCCTCACATTCTCGCTTGGCTTGGTCACTCAAGGCCGGTGCTCTACCACTCTGAGCCAAGGCTCCACTTTGGGCTTTTCGCTGGTCCATGGGAGATAGGCGTCTCATGGATTTTCCCACCCGGGCTGGCTTTGAACCTTGATCCTCAGATCTCAGCCTCCTGAATAGGAATTATAGGCGTGAGCCACGTAGCCCTGAATGATTCTGGGTGTTTGTAAGAACCGAGAGGTTAGCCGGGCGCTGGTGGCTCACACCTGTAATCCTAGCTACTCAGGAGGCTGAGATCTGAGGATCGTGGTTCAAAGCCAACCAGGGCAGGAGAGACCGTGAGACTCCTATCTCCAATAAACCACCAGAAAACCGGAAGTGGCGCTGTAGCTCAAGTGGTAGAGTGCTCGCCCTGAGCTGAAGAGCTGAGGGACAGCACCCAGGCCCAGAGTTCAAGCCCCACAACCGACAAAAAAAAAAAAAAAGAACCGAGAGGTTCACTCACAGGCTTGGAGATGGGGTGACAGGAAAGCAAGGCGGGTCACAGGCAGGGGTGAGGGGCACCACAGGGTCCCCCACAGCACCCCAGTTCTAGCAGCAGGTGGCTTCCTGCATCTGTCTGTCCTTTCTCTCTCTTTCTCTTTTTTGTCGGTCATGGGGCTTGAACTCTGGGCCTGGGCGCTGTCCCTCAGCTCTTCAGCTCAGGGCGAGCGCTCGACCACTTGAGCCTCAGCGCCACTTCCGGTTTTCTGGTGGTTCATTGGAAATGAGAGTCTCAGGGACTTTCCTGCCCGGGCTGGCTTTGAACCGTGATCCTCAGATCTCAGCCTCCTGAGTAGCTAGGATGACGGGCGGGAGCCCCCAGCGCTCAGCTCTTCTGTCTTTCAGCTAAGTGTCCTGAAACCCCAGGGCCTGGGAGCGCCTGTGAGTGAGCGCCCCCTGGCGGGTGGACTCGGGAGTGCAGGAGGGTTCCCACCCCTGTGTCCTCTCTCCCAGCCCAGGACTATGGCTGTCCACGGGAGCCCCAACTGCAGGAGCCTGGGAGGAGGGGGGCGGTGACAAACATACAGCCTCAATGAGGAGAATCTGGACAGAGTCATATTCTATTAGGGCGCCATTTAATTACTGTCTGAGCCTAGAGAGACAGACAGAATTGTAAAGCCCTTAGTCAGGCTTTCCAGCCTTCAAGGGTGAGGAGTCTTCAGAGTAGAGGCTGCGGCTGCCGCGGACTTGGAGCTCTGGGGGCGCTGCCCACGACCCCTGGGAATGCCATCCTAGCTACTCAGGAGGCTGAGATCCGAGGATCGCAGTTCAAGGCCAGCCCGGGCAGGAAAGTCCGTGAGACTCTGATCTCCAGTGAACACCAGAAAACCCGAAGTGGCGCTGTGGCTCAAGCGGTAGAGCGCTCGCCTTGAGCTGAAGAGCTGAGGGACAGCGCCCAGGCCCTGAGTTCAAGCCCCACAACCGGCACACTATAAAATAAAATGAAGGGTAGGGCCAGGCTGGGCGGAGCTCAGTGAAGGAATCTTTGCCTTCCAGATTTCGTACATAGAAACCAGCGCCAAGGACCCGCCTCTCAACGTGGACAAAGCCTTCCATGACCTGGTCAGAGTGATCAGGTGAGCTGTGCCCCTCCCCAAGCCCTCCCCCCAACACCAGAGTGCTCCCCCGGCCCCGGGCTGCGTGGGAATCCCCCAACAGCCAACCCTGGGATTCCAGGCCCAGACTTCACAGGCCTCCCGATGGTAATGTGAAGTTTCTAGAACATTCCCTCACAGACTCAGGCTCTAAGCCTGAAGTCTCCGGGGCTCAGTTGCCTCTTGCTGCCCCGCCCATGGACAGCCCATGGAACCCCGAGTGGAGTTCTCTCACTGGACACCCCCGAGTTCACCCCGACCTTCTCCCCTTATTTCTCGGGATCCTGGGTGAGCTTGCTTTGCTTTTCGGGCAGTTCTGCACGCTTGAAATGATTTTCCCTCCAAGTTAGGGGTCACACAGTCACCAAGCGGGGGTGCACTGTCACCTACCTGCCTGCAGCCATTTCTAGTTACAGTTGCGAACTCTCCAAACAGAATAACCAGCCCTCAGGGGCGGGAAGCGTGGCTCAGTTGGCTGAGCGCCAGCCAGTGAGCGAAAGCATCAGGTACTGAGTTCAAGTCCCATTCTCAGACTCAAAAACACAGGGAAGAAAAACCCAAAATAGCCAATACTCTAGCTACTGAGGAGACTGAGATCTGAGAATCACAGTCTGAAGCTAGGCCCCCCGCAGGAAAGTCTCTGAGACTCTTAGCTCCCATGAACTAGCAAAAAAAGCCAGAAGCGGAGCTGTGGTTCAAGTGGTAGAGCGCCAAGTTGGACTGAAAATGTTCAAAGGGACGGTGCCCGGTCCCTGAGTTCAAGCCCCAGGACTGGCCCAAAAATAAATGAGTGAATGAAGAAATAAATAATAGCCAGCCCTCTTACTATTATTTACTTCTTCATTCACTCATAAAATGTTCAGCATAACACATGGCTGAGCTCACGGTTTCCATAAACGTAGCCGTGGCGTGGAGTTAGTCTCAGCAGCGCAATGCTTGGCGTTTTTCTTCCTCTTCTGTGGCCAAGCTTCCTCCAGCCACCAGCCTGCAGAATCTCCTGCGTGTACCCCAACCCCGTGCCCGGAGCGTTACCCCTCTATGTCTCCAGTCAGGCTGAAAGGGTAGCGGGGCGGTGATTCTGTCTTCCTCCTGACTGTCTCTTTCCCCTTCCCTTCTCCAAAAGGCAACAGATTCCAGATAAAAGCCAGAAGAAAAAGAAGAAAACCAAATGGCGGGGAGACCGGGCCACCGGTACCCACAAACTCCAGTGTGTGATCTTGTGACGGGTCCATGGAGGCCCTGGGCCACAGCGACCTAACCGGCCTGCCCTGGGGGGGGGACCCACATGCCCCCTGCCTAACCGCACTGAACCCCCTTTTCTAACCACAGCCCTGGGGCCCCAGGAGGGCGCGGGGAGCAGATGGGGCGGGGGAGGGGGGTATTCATTACATCAAGTATGGAGACTTCATCTCCACTCGAGATACCCGGCCCGTGCGCACACGCCCCTCCCCTGTGTGAGTTCAGACCTGTCTTTTGTAGATTTATAAGTTATTCCAATGACGATTATTTTTATTACCTGCGGGGCAGATTGTCCGTCCCGTCCCACGTCTGGGATTCAGGACTGCGATCCTCTTGATTGAGTTTTCTCCAGCAGTGCCAAACTAACTCCACCCCAGAGAAAAGAGCGAGGGGGTGATGGGTATTCACGGAGGCCTCGGTCTCCCCAGCCGGACAGGAAACTGACCCTTGCCCACCACCCGGAGCCTGGAGCGGAGAAGACAGAATTTGATTTTGTGAACATGAGTGGCTGGCCCAACCATGTTCATTCTCAAGGAGGTTTCTAAGCTGGGCACTGGTAGCTCACGCCTGTAATCCCAGCCACCCGGGAGACTGGGATCTGAGGATCGCAGTTCCAAACCAGCCAAGAAAAGCCCAGGAGACACTTTTATTTCCAACGAACCAGCACAAAGCCGGAAGGAGAACTGTGACTCAAGTGGTAGAACACCCACCTCAAGAAGAGAACGCTAAGGGACAGTGACCAGGCCCTGAGTTCAAGTCCTTGTACCAGCACAAAAATAATAATAACCACAGAAATGCGTGAAAGAGGTTTTCCTTTGCCTGAAAATATATAAACTAAAGGGGCGCCCTTTGCTTTGTTGGGAGCGTGTTTCTCAGTACGTGTGAGTTGTGTTCTTACATGTGTGAAGACCCCCCCACCCCCCCAAACCCCGACTCCTCCCCAATTTCCTTCCCGCCCCGCCAGGAAGGAAAGCCCTCCTTTGTGCTGAACCCTAAGCAAAAAGACGCCATACTGAGCCTCGAACAGGTCCTGACCTGCACCTGAAGCCATTCCCCTCCGACCCCACGGACCAGCGACTCCAGCACGCCTGTAATCTCAGCAGACACGGCTTACTTTTTAGAGCACATGTTTATCTTGATGCTGACCGAAGACCAGAGGAGAAAGGAGCTGGCATTGAGGGGGGCTGTCCTCCGGTTCATTTCCACTTCCTCTATCCCTAAGAAGGACACAAGGGGACATTCTAGAGGAGTTTCCCGGATGTAAGATGTGGTAAAGGAAGACCAAGCTCTCTCCATCCCAAAGGCTGCCGGGGAACCTGGATTACAGAACACACCTGTGTGGTGGGGCTGTGGACCGGAGATGGGGGAAGGAGCGAGGTCAGGAGGGCCCCCGGCACAGACCACGGTGGCTTTCCAGAAGAGAGAAAAATAAAGTGCTACCTTCGCATCTCCTGGATCACACCCTTCCTGAAGCCCCCTCACCCCACACCTCTACCCTTGTGCTCTCCCCTTAGAGGGCTCCCGTGTCCCCAGAGCTAGTCCTAGCTGAACTCCACACCTCATAGGCTGGGGCTGGCCGACACCAACATGGTGGGCTCTTTGGTTTTTTTGGTTTGTGTTTTTTCTTAGGACTTGGCCTAGCACCTTGTCATGGTACTGATCACCCAGGGTGATTAGCCTAGTGTGGACAGTGTCACTTGGCCATAGCACATAACCTAGAAGCACCCTCCACCCACCCAGGGAAGGAACTCCAGAGGCCCCTCACCCCCAATCGCCCGTGGGGGTCAGCCGGGGTCACGTAGACCATGCGATACTTGAATTACTGTTACGCAGGACGAACACAGGACGAGGTGGCTGCCAGCCCACTGCCAGGATGCTTGAGCCTTTCCCGTCACTTTTCTATTCCGCCACTTGTTAATAAAGAAATGAAGGAAGCTTGGTCTTGTGTTCATACTGTCCTGGAGTTTCTCTCCTAGAGCTTTGTAAGCCTTCTCCCCCCCCCCCCCCACTGCAGGGAGGAGGGAGTTCCTGGCAGCCATGAGAACATCTACCTCCTGCCCAGAGCCAAGGAGGAAGGAAGGAAGGTGGAGGCAGCCTGTAGAGATAGACACCTAACCTCTGGCTCAGCTATGGACCTGCTCCTCTAGGGTGTGGTGGCTCACGCCTGTAATCCCAGCTACTTGGAAGAGAGATCTAGAGAATGGGAGGATCAAGCCAGGTCCCCGGCTCACACCTGCAATCCTAGCTACTCAGGAGGCTGATATCTGAGGTTCGTGGTTCCAAGCCAGCCTGGGCAGGAAAGTCCGAGAGACTCTGATCTCCAATGAACCACTCAAAAAACTAGAAGTGGCACCGTGG